TTGACACGGTACCGTGTTTCCCTCAGCCGCACATCACGTTATCAACCTAAATGAAAGTGTATCGGGATCTGAATCTTAAGTGCACGGTGGCCTAGTGGTAAGGTTTGTCTATACGACGCCTTGGGTCGCGGGTTCTAATACCGTACCGTGCCTCTTTTTTTCACATGATTTCCGGTACACTTTCTATAACCGGCCGTCAATCCCCGGCGGCCGTGTTACAATTGATAAATTGACATATATATATATATAAATAATAAGAAATTGTGTAGAACATCATATTTGTTATGACAGATAAATTATTTGATTGTTTACAAGTTATTTAAAATACAGATTATACATTTTTCATTAATAATTGTAAGATGCGTCATGCAAAGCATTGAGCATATTACTACATNATCAAAAAAAAACGCTTCGATGCAAATCTTTAGATAGTGTTTAATTTTAAAAAATTGGTGGACTATTCCAAAAGCTACATTATCTGCTAGTTCATTATTAATATCCTAATTAAGATAAAGTATGTAGAATGAAAAAGGGATTATTAAAAAATATTATTTCTCATAAAAAAATAATGTTATCCATACATTTTTCAATATGTCATAGCATTATAAAGTTAAAAATGTAAAAAATAAAATCGAGAATTTTCACACAATAATAGCATTCGGTAGCCATTTTCACCGTGAAGATAAAATAAAGTCCGAAATTTTTTTTTCGCATAATAAAGTAAATTACATTAGCTTTAATTTAAGATATATATAAAAGTGTCAGACTTTCCGGAACATTTTCAAAAGTTAAGTTGAAAAAGTTCTATTTTCTACATACATTTTTTAGATTTGAACCCCCCTCGTATATAGGGAAATGGTCAGATTTAAAAAAACAGTATGTCAAATGAAAGATGTATATAAATACTACTCCTCATGAAAAAATTGTACTGATCCATACATTTTTCAAAAAGTTATAGCATAATAAAGTTAAAAATGTAAAATACAAAATCGAAAATTTTCACACAAAAATAGCATTCGGTAGCCATTTTCACCGTGAAGATAAAATAAAGTCCGAAATTTTTTTTTTTCACAATAAAGAATATTACATTAGCTTTAATTTAAGATATATATAAAAGTGTCAGACCTTCCGGAACATTTTCAAAAGTTAAGTTGAAAAAGTTAATTTTTTGTGAAAAAGTTGTCATTTTAAATCCCCCCCTGTAGGCAGGTAAAAAGTCAGATTTATAAAAAAAATATACCAAATGATAGGTAAAGACATCATGCATCTACAAAAAAAAGAATTATATTGATCCATACATCTTTCGAAAAGTTATAGCATTATAAAGTTAAAAATATAAAAAAGAATTTTTTTACAAAAATCGTATTTTTTTTATTAAGTTTAATGTCTATTTTCACCATGAAGATAAAATAAAGTCCGAAATTTTTTTTTTCCATAATAAAGTATATTACATTAGCTTTAATTTAAGATATATATAAAAGTGTCAGACTTTCCGGAACACTTTCAAAATTTAAGTTGAAAAAGTTCTATTTTCTACATACATTTTTTAGATTTGAACCCCCCTCGTATATAGGGAAATGGTCAGATTTAAAAAAACAGTATGTCAAATGAAAGATGTATATAAATACTACTCCTCATGAAAAAATTGTACTGATCCATACATTTTTCAAAAAGTTATAGCATAATAAAGTTAAAAATGTAAAATACAAAATCGAAAATTTTCACACAAAAATAGCATTCGGTAGCCGTTTTCACCATGAAGACAAGTCCAGAGGTCAAATTTTTTTTTTTCAAATTAAAGTACATTACATTAGCTTTAATTTAAGATATATATAAAAGTGTCAGACCTTCCGGAACATTTTCAAAAGTTAAGTTGAAAAAGTTAATTTTTTGTGAAAAAGTTGTCATTTTAAATCCCCCCCTGTGGGCAGGTTAAGTGTCAGATTTACAAAAAAAATATACCAAATGATAGGTAAAGACATCAAGCATCTATTAAAAAAAAAATTATATTGATATGTTCATTTTTGAAAAAGTTACGGCAGTTTTTAGTAAAAAAAATTGAAAAAATTTCGAAAATTAGCGATTTTTAAATTTGTAATTTTTTTGGAGGTTTCCCCCATTTACGGGGAACGAGGGAATTTTTTTCAATTTTTGAGGGTAATGTCTTCGACTAGATACAATTTGTGATCTTTTGACGTATCATTGAAAGAAATCCGTTCGGTGAGAGCTGAGAAAAAGTGGTAACAGACAAAAAAAAAAAAAAAAAAAAACACATCTTAGTAAAACCAATACCTTCTCAGCTTTGCATCGAAGCTAAAAGTGATGGAGGGATGCTATTTAATGCGATTTGAGGACAGCTGATGTGAGCGTAGATGGTGTGGAGATCGTATCAAGTGAAAGTTCAGGATAAGGGTGGCCGACCCCAAGTAGTTGGGATTAAGACAAGGATGAAGAAGAAGATATTTGAATCTAAGAATTACTAATCTGGATATAATTAAGGAAATAGTTGATGTTGCTTTTGTAATTATCTACTAATTTCTTAGAATTAAACATTATCTACAGATTTGCATCGAATCGTTTCTTATGATAGTGATTTTAATCACTGTCAGATTAAATCTATACTGGACACAACTATTCCACGTCCCCACTTTGCTGGGTTTTTTTAAAAATATATTTATTATATATATTTTCACTTAACCGGTATTAGTTCTTATCTTGGCAACAAAAATGATAATACTTTTCGTAAATATAATTATAATTTATTAATACGACAATTAAACATCATTCGATTAAACAGACAAAAACAATCGATCACTCTACGCTCCGGCCCAATACGGCGGAGGGTCAAACATACACTAACTTAACTATCGATAGGCCTTATCGCTATCTTGACAATTCACAGAATACTACAATAAAGTGTCTATAGCCTGCCTTAACATTAACAATTACACCCTTCTTTTAAAACTCATATAATAATGATTAATTGCAAATATATAAATTCTGTAAATAATCATATTAAACTCAGTTCACTACTTTTGTGATAAATGTATTAATGTAAAACTCAAAATATATATAAATAAAAATGTTTACAGTTACTCGCAAATTGTGCGAGCACACTGGCTAGCTGCGACACCTAAAACTCACTTAAAACTAACAAAATATATAAACTTCACTAATGAACAATTAATACATAATTAAATAATAAACTAAAAACTCAATATTATTGTAAAATAGGAACTAGAATTTACAAATATCTGCTCTTTTAACACTTAACAAAAATACACGACACTCGGAACTCAAAGTTAACATATACATTAATATTTTACTGAATTTAAATATTACATGGACAGGGAGAAGAAGGGAGTAATAATGCAGTCCGACCATGTGAGTTGAACTTTGAGGAGGTGCCGACTAGAGCACACCAACTATTGATGTTAAGCTCAATATCCACCCCCCGTTGAAAGTTCCTGCTTTCAACCACTAACTGGATCTTCTTGTTCACTATCTGGTTGGTCTACACCCTTGGCGTTTGGCAGTAAGCATAACTTTACAACGAGTCTCTTCAATATAGTTCTATCCATTTAACACCATCTTGACGAGGAAATACCTCAGCTACCCTCACCATTTTCTATTTAAATGGCAGTTAGTTGTCATCCTTCATTTTAGCCAGGTCACCTATTTGCATATCACGGCTCAAAGTCAGCCACCTTGTTTTTTTTTGTAATTGTGGGAGGTATTCCCTATCCAACGTCCCCAAAAAAGTTGTACTTGAGAAAGCACTAACTCGAACTGACGCAATCTATTATGATTCACTTCGGGCTCTTGAACTTTATTAGCTAGCTTTGTAAAGCAATGAGTTGCCAGAAAAGGAGATGACTTTGTTACGGTTAATAAGTGATAGTGTATGAGAGGGAGATATGGACGAGAATGACATACTATCCGCTGCAAGTCACAATCAATTAAGTCCACACGTACTTTAATGTTTGCACATGACAAATATATTATAACTATTTTACTATTAAAAAATATGCATTTTTAATAAAAATGTAGAATTAAGAATATATACAATTAATTTTCTTCTTATAATTAATTTTAGTAGGATGTCCATTTATAATAATGACTGATGGTAAGGAGTGTGTGCTGTTATTTTCATCACTAGACATATCTTGGTATCACTTCATCTCCCATCTAGGTATAAAAATATTAAATTCTGTAATACTGGTCCATAAGTTGTAATCGACCAGTCATTTTCTTAATAAAATAATTTTCTATTATATAAGCTATTTAAATATATTTATTGTCATTAAAAAAATAAAGTTAGCACCTCTATAAGTCATAAGGAATCAAAATAAAAAGTATTATATAACATATAAATTGAGATACATAATATGTAACTAATAGAATTAAAAAAAAAATTCACAAGAAAATTATTTTAAAAGAAATTGAACGTATGGTGTTAAAAGAGTAACTCTGTAGTCTGTATCTATATTATATTTATCACTTATAATAATTATTTTGGAAAGATTTTTTAAAATATACTTATGGTCACATTGCATAATATAAACTTCGGCGGAGTTACTGTATCGTACAAACAGAGATAAGCAATGACCCTATGCTCTATATTGCTCTATCACACAATAAATAAATGTGATACTATCTATACCATTTTTGGCGGTTATTTTTTGTTTTTACTGAATAACTTGGTAACGAGATATTTAGTAAGTGAATTTTATCTATTCAGTTATTATTTATTAGTAAAACCATTTATGTGAATATGACACATAAATATTCTTATAAGTTATTCATTAAATAATTATTGTTTTTTTAATGTATATATGCTTTATACAGTTGATAGATTTTATCATGGTCTATTCATTTTTAATTAGAACCATGTAATCATTTCAATAAGTTATTATTTTTCACTTTTTTTGTCATCCTAGTAAGTATATAATAGTCTTATTCTTATTTATTATTTTATTTTTTATAATTTTTTTTAAATTGTATAAAAACAAATAAAAATGATAATAAATAATAAAAATATTTCCAACGAATTATTTTTAAAGGGCTATTTCATTTTTAAATAGTACTCGCATTTTTATTTTCAAATAAAACCCACTCATAGTCGGTCATCATGCTTTATTCCATTTTTCTTGGTATCTTTTTTCCATTTATGCGATATCCTGAAGATATTACATTAGTTCACAATTTTTAATGAGTTTTTTTACTTAAATTCGTTAAATATTTGTAGTTAGAAAATTAGATTCTACTATAGCATTATCTTAAAAAGAATTCATAGTTCTATTTTTTTTTAACAAATAGCCATTATTATGATTTTTTTTTACATTTTTATTGATTATTTATTAGATTATGTTAACTAAAGGGGAGGCTATTAACAATATTTTAGTATCTTTTTAATCTTTATAACGTTTCTTTAAGACATAATAAATAATAACATAAATGAAAAAAAGTTATAGAGAAGTTTACCTTAAAAATACTATTAAGTTCAACTTTAAATACCATATAAAGTAAAACCTTACATTACAAAAACAATATACATTACATAAAGTAAAACTTTATATAATGATTTTAAATGAACACATTTTTCAAAAATTTTGTCACATAAAATATGAATTTTAATTCAAATTTTATGTGAAAAACCTTAATTTTACAAATACTTAAATTGTGGCTAAAGTATTGATGTCAGAAAAAAACAATGGGCATATTTGAATCAACATTAGATAACTATTAGTTACAAAAAAAATTACATAATCATTCCTTGACCAAAATTTTATCATAATTCAAAAAATATTTATTGAACTTTATTCAATAGAATTATAAGTATTTATGTATTTTTTGTATCATGATATATAGAGTATTTCTAAAGATATTTAATAAAATTATATTAATTTCTCAATTTTGATCATGTTATAGATTTTAATATATTTTATTTTTTAGAACAAAATAGAAATATTGTTTCAGTAGAAAATTTAATTGATAAATGATTAAAATTTTTTTCTAGATTATTCAAATTCAATTAGATATTAAGGATAGTTATAATATTTGTATTAAATCAAATATTTTTTATTGATTGATTAATAAAGAATTTTTTTTAAATATTTTCAATTTCCTATTTAATTGTCTTCTGATCTTTTAAATTGTGTAAGGTTACTTATTAATTAGAAACCATTATAAAATCATTTTAGTATTACAAAAATTTCTAATTAGTATTATCCTTTGAAATATTATTTCTTTGCTAGTTTATGTAAATGTATAATATATTTAATCATAAATTGATGTTATTTGCAGGGTAAATTTTGTGTTGTTGAAAAATTAATCAAAAATGAGACCTCAAGCTCCTACTGTGAACGAGAAAATCTTACTTGATAAACAAAGTAACAAAGTGGTGAAAAACAATAATAAAAATTGTAAATAATGATTTTTACTTTTAGCTTCTAATCAATATATAATCTTGACAAATAGAAAAATCAATCAAAGTGATGTGGAAAAAACTACAAATAATTTGAGATGTACTGAGTATAAATCAATCAATAAAAATAAATTATTTATGGAGAAACAGAAAAGTGAAAGAGCTAAAAAAAATAAATTACAATTGTTGCAAAAGAAAAAAGAATTGGAAGAACGCAAAAGAAGATTAGACAATTTAAAGGATACTACTAAAAAGTTGGCACAGGCTTCTTTGAAGAAAAAGGTACCAATAATTAATATTTCTTCATCAGGTATGATGATGTTAATCATATAAAATATATTTTATAAGATTCCTAATTTTTTTATTTTTGTGTAACTCTTATAGCTTATAAATCCAAAGTATATATCAATACAACCAGAAAAAAATATTAATCAGTCTTTTCCAATGAAAAATATGAATGGTAAATAAAATTCTAAATATTTTCATTTTAGTTGTAGTAGAGTTAGAAAATTAACTAATAGATGAGTTTTTTTTCAAGTGGAAATTGTTAATAAAGTGTCATTGTTTGATAATAACTTTCACTCTGTACAAGCGATAAGTCTTATGGGGCATGAAGTAAATTTTATGTATTTATAAGAGCATACAGACGACAGAAAAAAGAGGTTTAGGGCCACACTAAACATTATGTTAAACACTATTTGCCGATTTAAATTGAAATTAGTGATGGGCATTTTCAAATATTTGAAACTATCGAATAACTATTCGAATTGTTTTTATACAACTGCAATGTTTATTTTTAGCATAAACTATTAGAATATATTGTGTAACTATCAAATATTTTTACTATTGGAATAGTTTTTTAATGACTATCGAATAGTCGACAACTATCAAATAATTTGATAGTTACTATTCAATATTTCCCATCACTAATGAAACGTTTTTTATAATAGTGGTTTTAATCATTGTCATATATCAACTATACTTGCCCTAACTATGTCACATCCTCATTGTGCCACAACCCCACATACTTATTTGTATATCTTTACACTAGAGGTTAACAATAATAATTTTAAATAAAATTTGTTATAATTTTCCTTGAAGTATAGGTATAATTTTTTTAAAGGGAAGATATAAGTATAAGTACTCAACATGTATTTTTAAATTTATACTGATTTAAGTCATAATGTTATTCTTTTATGACATTATATACTTATTATAACACCCATTAATATTGGTTTCTGTGGGTTATATCTTACAACACACAATTATTTAAATGGCGGTAGACTTTTATTAAACAAAATTATAACACTAAAATAGACGTATAAACACTAAAAGAAAATATATGTATATACAGTAAGGAAAAATAAAATAATCGAAGTAAACATAATACACGATGACAACAGCGGCGGGGTGTAGCGGTCGTGTAGCGTATCGCGGACTAGACAGTCTGAACTGAACTAACTGAACTGACTGATTCTTCCGATATATATATAGCTCCGATAAGGCTCTCGCTAATTCTAGAATATTCTATACCCGCGTAGGTTATCTTATGGCGTTATCGAAGTTTCTCGAAGGTTTTTGATAACGAGAACATTCGAGAATATTCGTTGCGTATGTTTTGGTCGCTACAGTTTCTAATATTTTATAATTTTGTTATTTTGGGTTTATTGTATACTAGTATGATCTTTTAGTTTTGAACTGAAGATGAGAAGGTACTAATTTTACCATGATGTGTTTATTTATTTTTTTTGTGCCTGTCACGACTTTTTCTTAGCTCTCATAGGACTGATTTTCCTCAATAACAATGTCTTTTAATTACATTAAAAGATTACAAATCATACCTAGTTGAGGACATTACATTCAAAAATTGAAAATTTTGACCTCGTTCCCCGTAAATGATGGAAATCCTTCAAAAAGTTACAATTTTTAAAATAGGTAAATTTCAACGTTTTTAAACATTTCTTAAAACTCATAACTGTTGGATAAATTAATCAATAAATTAAATCAAAATATTTCACAAAATCTGATATTTAATTTGCCCACAGGGCGGATTCAAAGTAGCAACTTCTGCACAAAAAGATAACTTTTTCAACAAAGTTTTGAAAATGTTCTGGAAATACTCCGAGCTTCAAACATATGTTAAAATAAAACTTGTTATTTACTATAAATTCAAAAAAAAAGTTGTCCAAACATCTTATCTTCTACAATCAAATGGTTGCAGTGATTAAAAAACATGAGATTTTTTTGTGTTATGATTTTTTATTTCATATTTATATTTTCGACTTAAAACTGCTAAAACTTTTTTAAATTGGAAGAACCAAAATAATTTTGTTCAATATGAAATGGATGATTTTTTCTGTGTTCCTTGAAATAAGTGAAAACTCCCAAAAAATTATTAAAAATGGTAAATTTCTATATTTTTTTTCCTAAATCCTTTTTATCTATTTTAAAAATGGACAAATCAAAACAAATTTTTATTTAAAAATAATTTAGGTATTTTTCTTCCGTTTGATATAATTTTTTGAAATTTTGACCTTTTACACCGGCACAATGGGGGAGTTCATAATAGCAACTTTTTCAATTTAATTTTTGTAAATGTTGCATTTTTTTAACATTTGTTATATTAAAGTTTGTGTGTTACATACTACAAATTGAAAAAAAATTGTTTCGATGACATGTCTTCTATGTGTAAATAGCCCCAAATTTAAGCAAAAAAGTATTATGTAAAATGGTCAATCATTTTTTGTGTTTTTATAATTTTCTAGATCAATTTTTTTTGGCAATTATTTGTCCCTGTATTACAGGTTAAACGGTATAGTCAAATAGTAGAAGACGTTAGTATTTCTCTTTATCACCTTCTTTTACAAGAAAAATTTAATAAAAAATATTTAAGTGTTGTTTATAAATATTTTTAGAGAGAATTCTTGCAGCTATTAGTATCAATCTATCATGTATAATTAAATTAGTTATCCCAACTATACAACGTCCTCACTGTGCCATAATTTCACTGTATTAGTTTCTTATATATATATATATATATATAAAAGATAGGTTCAATGTCATTTAAATTGATTAAAATATAATTAAAAGACAATTTTTTATTATTATGTTATAAAAATACTATATAAATAGTATTTTGCTTATAACAATTTAAAAAATTTTTATAGATTATCTACAGCATGAAATTATAGAACCAGAAAGTCATTTTTCTAATATTGAACACTTCAAAAACTTAGAAGAATTATTAAATGATAAATCATTTACAATATCAAATAAGAATTTTAGAAAATGTCACTTGGTCTATGAAAAACAAAACAGTGGTATGTTAAAATTTCAGTTTTATAAATATTTTTAAATGAAACAAAGTAATTCAAATTCATTTCAGTTTTTAATAAAAAAATATATACAGTACATGTTTTATCTTCATATTGAACAAACTTATATTAGTGCAATACTGTGTCTTATCTTATTGTGTAAATTACATGAAATTGTGCTATAAATAAACTGGTATGTACATTTTCTACTACTATAGCATAAACTATCTCTTTGGTAAAGAATAATCTATGGAGACACAATCTTTCCCCTTTAATGAGGGAAATAATACTAAATCAAATCGTCCTCTAATTTATGCATCAGTTACCACTAATTCAACCTATCATTTTGCTACCAGAGAAAATGCAATAGTATTCCATATTATAGAGGGCATACCTTAAATTAAATACATTATTAAAATTGGAACTTATGTTTCTCCTTCCTCAATTGTTTCAGCATGCAAACTCTCTAATAACAGATCTACTATATATTTCTCCCAAAAAGATATAGTCGACAAATTTACAGAGTCTCATCCAATTATAATTATTAGGGATATTTCTACTAAAATTCACTGTCTTATCAATCCAGCAAAAAAAGTAAATATCAAATGTCTAATGAGGCTTACATACCTAATGAGGCTATCGTAGAAGAAATTAAGAATCTTGGTTTTACCTGTCTCCTAAATGTCAATACTCAAATTAAGTACTAACATGGCGGAGTACACCCACATTCTGATTGGTCGTAGATAAATAAAAAAGTAATCCCGAAGATACTGAAAAGCTCCGTAANTAAATTAATCCCGAAGATACTGAAAAGCTCCGTAACTCAAAAATTGTAGATTATGATGGTACTCAATTTAGAATTTTTTTTTCTGACTNAAAAAGTAATCCCGAAGATACTGAAAAGCTCCGTAACTCAAAAATTGTAGATTATGATGGTACTCAATTTAGAATTTTTTTTTCTGACTATAATGTCATCTGTTATCTATGTAAATCTAGATCTCATATTTCAAACAATTGTGACAAATACAAATCTAATATAAACATTAACACTTCACACACAACATATGATGCTCAAATGATAAGAATATAAAAAGTCTTCTTCCTACATTTTAATTAACCTATCAGATAACCCTGTTTTAGATATGGATACTATACAGTTACAAATCCAACATTATTTCCTATTAAAAGTAGTACCAATGTTCTTTTAATATCATCGTCATCAACCACATCATCTACATATAAACCCCCTACCAAAAAAACCACTTAAGATAAACCATTAGAGAAAACCAGCCAGCCAAACTCAACTCCACTGAATTAATAATTGAGAATCTAGATAAATTACTTAAACCAGTAAAAGATATTCAAAACAATCATAACATATCTATTAACTTCACTCAGTTTAAAAATATTATTGAACTTGCACAATTCAAGCTCAGCAAAGATGATATATCCTCGGAACTATTTGAATATGGTCTTGACATTGGGACAATGATAGAAATAATAGAGAGAGTTCACCCAGTGCTTACAAAAACACTAGGACTAATAAATGAAATTATTAGATTTTGCACTATTTATTAGACCAATTCGTTGGCACTTCCCCGCAACTATAATATTAGTAATACTATTATAATATATGTATACATTTAAATATATGTATATGCATGTGTATGTAGGTGTACATATGTGTAGGTTAGGGTGGTCCTTATTTTTCACATTTCAAAATTTCTTTCGGGACACCCCTCCATTTTTTCTTTAGTATAAAAAAATAATATTCTGAGAATTTAAGATCGTTTAGAAAAATTTAAATCAAATTTCACAGCATTTAAAGGTTTTGACCTCGAATTTTCGAAGAATATTTTATAAAACGATAAAAAAAAAACCTATATTAGAGGTTTTCAAGTGATTTTTTCAATAAAAGTGAAGATATAAAAAGAAACCTTATTTAAGGACAAATATTTTGATGTATTAATTTAAAAAATTTATTGAATATTTTAAGTGTGATGACAATATATTGATAACACAAAAATAATTAAACAGCTTATTTTTTATACTTTGTTACTTTAATAGTTTCAATGCTTCATTATAGCCTTTTCAAATGTTTATAATGACTTGAATATAAATTAATTAAGTTATTAAGTTGAATTTTATAGCATTGAGCTAGTATTAGTTGAAATAAATCATAAAAAATGAAATAAAATTAAAAAAATAGCTTTAAATTGAAAAACAAAGAATTTTGCTTTACAAAATTTGTTAATATTTAATTTTACATATCTCTTTGTTTTTATTTTAAATTTAATTATCTAATTATTTATAGTATTTCTTCTGTACTATGAGATACTTTTCTTTAAATCAATTTTAGTTTTAATTTTAATATTCAATCAACATATGACCATTTTCACATTTAATCATAGACAAGATTGATAAATGTTTATAACTAATACTAGCTCAATGCTATAAAATTCAACTTAATAACTTAATTAATTTATATTCAAGTCATTATAAACATTTGAAAACATTTAAAGCTGTTTAATTATTTTTGTGTTATCAATATATTGTCATCACACTTAAAATATTCAATAAATTTTTTAAATTAATATATCAAAATATTTGTCCTTAAATAAGGTTTCTTTTTATATCTTGACTTTTATAGAAAAAATCACTTGATAACCTCTAATATAGGTTTTTTTTTATTGTTTTATAGAATATTCTTCGAAAATTTGAGGACAAAACCTTAAAATGCTGTACGCTTTGATTTAAATTTTTCCAAACGATCTTAAATTCTCAGAATATTATTTTTTTATACTAAAGAATAAAATGGTGTCCCGAAAGAAATTTTGAAATTCGAATAATAAGAACCATCCTAGTGTAGGTGTCTACATATAGATACAAAAATAAAATTAATTTGTATCATAGTTACTCTATACCAAATAACAATATTACACAAAAACACTCTTAATTATCTTTTAACATGACAAACAAATATTAAAACATTATACATTGGAAAATAAATGGCTTAAAGGCTAAACTGGACAATATCAAACTTATAATAAACAAGTACGAACAAGTAGCATTATGTATTCAAGTGTTGAACCTGAAGACTAATAAATGGCCAATACTCCTAATCCCTTATACATTATATTCTATTATTTGTATTAACTGTAACAGAGCAAGTGGTGGTGTTGCTATATTTGTAAAACAAATGTATCCCAGCAAGCAAATACTAATCAATTCAAATTTTGAAGTTTTAGCAATATCCATTACAATGGAAAAAACATTTACCATTTGTAATGTATATATTCCTATCCAAACCAATTTTCAGCTTCTGATCGAGACACTTTATTAACCAACTCTTCAAACCATTTTTACTAACAGGAGACTTCAACTGTCATGGCACCTCATGGGGCTCCAACTACACTGACAGAAAAGGTCGAATTATGGAGGAACTATTAGAAGAAAGCAAATATTGCTCATCTAATAATGGCGATTTCACAAGATTGAACCCCTTAAATAATACCTTTTCAGACATAGATCTTACTCTTTACAGCATTTCTTTTACACTTCAAACTGAATGGTCATTACTTCCAGAAATTTATAATAGTGATCATCTTCCTATTAATATTAAAATATATTCAGAGATGGATATAAGCAACTATGACTCACCTAAATGGAATTTTAAGTCTCCTGACTGGAGTCTATTTTCGTTTGTAGAAAACAAATCTTGATCAAACTATCTTGCCAGTATAGTTGCAGCCACCGACTAGCAACCATCACTCTGAAGATGGACTCTGCAATGAGTCCGAAACGTCAGAACTCAACTGTAAACATGGATATATCCTCAAGCACTTCAAGCAAATCTTGATCAAATCCAAAACTATCACAGTTTACTAATAAATGACAAAACCTCAAATATTACAAATGTTTTTATAAATACACTAAATATAGCAATAGACAAAACTAAAGTAAGAGCAGGAAAAAAACCTTGGTGGAACTCTGAAATTAAGTAGTCATTCCCCTATTTGTTAAGAATTACATGAATGTTGTGATCTCTATGAAGAAACAGAAATACTTAAGTTGGGTCTCTAAATAAGTTTTTTATTAAAAAAATTTCTGATGGAAGATCTCCTAGTAGTTATTTAAATGGGGTTTTAGAGAATTGAATTTAATAACCAAAATATTTAACTACAAAAAATCTGTTGTAAGTAAAGGAGGTTTAGGTAAAAATAAAAAACATTCACGAGTAATACCGAATTAAAAAAATAAAAACTACTTTCATTTAAAATCGGCTAAAAAAAATTTCATAGTAATACTGTAAAAAAAGATAATTTTTATAGAGTATCAAATTTATTCTAAAGGATTCCTATAAAGAATCCATTATGTGTAAGGTAAACTACAAACTTTATCAATAGTTTAAAATTAATAAATGAAGAAAAATTCAAATTTTTGTTAGTTTCAAATCCTTTAATACTTAAACTATATGCTTTGCCAAAAATACATAAGCCAGGGAATAATATGAGACCTATTATATCGAATATTAATGCTCCTATATACAATTCGATTAAACACTCACTGGTATTTTCATCTATTCAAATATTTTATAGTTAAAAATAATAGTGACATAGATCATAAATTATCTGGTCATATTATTCAAAATGACAAATTACTTTCTTTCGATGTAGTAGCCTTATTTCTGAGTATTTTGATAAAAATAACAATTGGTTTTCTTAAAGACTGTCAAAAAGATCAAAATATAGTATAGGATTTGAAATTTATCGGAAAATTATTCATTGTAATAATATTCACCACAAGTGATCAACTTATCATTAAATATTGTACATTTGTCATAATCATATTTATATGATTCTTATATTTCTTATTTGTAAGTGTTCCAGAAATACGGACACTTAAATATATATCTTTTTACACATACATTTTTGATTAATTATTTATTTTTGTGATTTTTTTAAATAGTTATATCTTGTATATTATAAAAGTTTAGATTTGAAGCCTAAAACAATTTTCAAATAAGTTATTGGACATATTCTATTTATGCTATAGAATAAAGCAGATTAATAAAATAATTCAATTAACATTGTACTTAAAAATATAGTAATAGATTTGATTTTTGTTTAAAAACTATTCTATATATGTTTAGAAATTCCAATAAACGTTCACTTAAAGTTTAACAAAAAAAAACTTTAATTAATTTTTTTATAGAAAGACGTATTTGTGCTGCTAAAATTATTCAACAGTTTTATCGAAAATACAAAATGAAAAAACATGAAATATATAAAAGAACTGCTTGTAACTACATTTCCAATTTTGATTTGTTGGATTCAAATTCTATGATTTTAAACTCAAATGCTTCATGTTGTTCAATGAAAGACTTGCATCAAAACCAGATATTTAATCTTGATTCTACTTCTAATAAAGAAGAAAATGTCTTGAGTGATAATAATAAGTCTGTATTTAAATGTTCAGAAAAAGTATATAACTTAAACATTAAATCAACTGAAACACATCAAAATAAGATTGATTTTATACCTGATCACCAATCTACAATAAAAAAACCTACAATCATCAAATCAAAATTCCATAGAGATTTAGATAATATTAACTGCAAAAATTTTTCAAGAAAAGAATATTCAAATGACTATCAAAATGATCAAAACTTTTTAGTTAATGAAATAAACCATTCTATGGAAGGTAATCTACCTTCAGAGCCTGTAAGTCAAAATCATATTAAATCCATTACTTAAGTTAATATAATTAAAATATTTTTTAGCTTATTAAATTTCATAATGAATTAAAAGCAGAACTTAAAGTACTTAATAATTTAAACAACTATTTATACAATATTGAACATTTGGCAGACAACAATTTATCTAAATTAGAGGTATGTCATTGTATGTAAAAATTTGTAATTTTTTTTTTATAAAATAGCTTTAACGTCTGTGTTATTGGTTTTATAAGTTTATTTTCTCTCATATTATCCACGATTGACGCTACACATATACTCCCTCTTATATGTTCGTTCCTTATTCTATCTTCTCTAGTGATTCTACTTCTCCATTTTAGCATTCTCATCACTGCTACTTTCACTCTCTGCTCTACTTTCTTGTCAACCCCCCAACATCCTGGACCATACATCATGGCTGGCCTTATTTATTACAGTCTAATAAAACTTACCTTTCAGCTACTTCACCCCCTCATACTTAATCCTGTGTCTTCCATCCTTGTCAATGCCACCATTCCTTTGCACAACTTTCCATCACTCTTAACACGTCCTCACTTACCTAAGATTATTTATATAAAAAAAATTATGTTGATTTGTACATTTTTAAAAAAGTTATGGTAGTTTTAAGAAAAAAAAGTTATAAACTACTTACTTAAAAAAACGTGATTTTTTGAGGATTTCCCCCATTTACGGGATGGAAAATTTATTCAACTTTTGAGGGTAATATCTTTGACTAGATATAATTTGTGATCTTTTCAAGTATTATTTAAAAGAATCAGTTGAGTGAGAACTGAGAAAAAGTGGTGATACAAAAAAATAAATAAACACGTCATGCTAAAATTGAGCTTCGAAGCTAAAAAAAAAAGTATATATAAATAACTTGTAACGCATTTATAAATAACCCTTTATATGTATGGTTAAGTTGAAATATTTATTTTTAATGACTAAATGTTTTTTTTTTTATAGTTGTGAAATCTTTTAAGTTTTTACAAAAAAAAAATAATAATAATAATAATAATGCTCATACTGTATTGTTTATTTATATTATTGTTATTCTAATTTATTTTAAGGGATCGTTAAAGAAGAATAACAAAAATGATTTATTGAAAAATTGTGTTTTTGAAAATGGAAAAAACCATTCTGAAAATGCATATGTTGGCAATACTTCATCAAATCTTAATTCCTTGATGTCAACATTTTTATGTGCTAATAAAGCTTTAAGTGGTTTTTCTATACATATTGTAATTAATCTTTTTTTGGTTTTTAAATTTTTCTTTGTGATATTCAACTATGATTTATTTATTGTAATAACTAAATAGTAAATTGTATATATTTTTTTGTCATATATAAAATAAAATGTGCTATTAAAAAAATTTTTTTTTTTCAAAAAACAGTTAGAACAATTAATTAGAGATGATGAACATAGAGTGAAGCAACTTCATACAATTTTACGTTTAAGGGAAAAATTTTTATCTGATCGTTTAAAATGGGAAGTGACTATGGCTGAACTACAAATGAAGTAAATTAAATTATTCAATAATAAGAGAACCATTATAATTGATAATTTATGTTTCATAAAAACATTTTTTTAGGTACCATAAAAATTGTAGTTATCAAGAAAAACAAGTACATCAATTAAAGCATGGAAGCCGTATAAAAAAAATTGAAAATGCTTTATTTCATATTCAACATATAGGAAAAGTCATGGATTACATGAATCAGCAACGTATATTATTACTTGAAGAACAATTACAGTGTTTAAAAATGCAGATAAGTTCTAAGAAGTTATTCCGTAAAATAAAAAACTTCAGTGTAAGGAGAAATCGTGAACCTTTTATGTAATAAATTTAATTTAATAATTTTTTTAGAATGAAGAAATCATACCACATATGTTAAGTTATGATTCTACTTATAAACATAATCATGGTCAATTCAGTAAAAACTATGAATGTGAAATAAGAAATATGTATTTAAATAAAAGTATTGATGAAATAGAACTACAAAAAAGTTTACTTTCATCAACTCTCCACAAAAAACTTTATCGAGGTTATTATTTTTTTATTTTTATTTAATTAAAAAATGAAAACATTGAGCTTAGCAAATATGAGGTGCTCAAAAGGCAAGCCAATTAATTTCACTATTTTTAATAGTAACAATATTAGAATGATTAGATTAAAAGAGTAAATACTATTGAGAGACAGTTATTTGAAAAACAGTGAAGTTAATTAGTTTGTCATCATATTTATTGCGCATCATATATTATGTATTATATGTATAACTAAGCTTGATAAAATTAATATTATGAATTATTTATGAACATTTTTTTAATTTTTGATTTTTTTTGTTGATTCCTAATGTATTATTAGTTATATGACTTGTGTTTTACACAAAACTATAAAAAAAATGTTCTCTTCAACAATCATTGATTAAGTTTGCAGTATTTTGATGATAATATGTACAAAAAATAAAACTATTCCATTAAGTTTTATGTTTGGCATGGAACAATTTAAAGTTGAGTTCTACAATAGTTTTAAAAATGTAAATCTGAACTTTTAATTATAATATCTCTATCGAATACATAAGAAAGAGCTACCCTGCCCACACAATTATTTTATGTGGTGACTACAATTTGCCGGAGATATCTTGGGACAATGACGATCATGGCCTAATTTACTCTTCCTTATCACACTCTCAGGGTGCTTGCATCCCTGAATCATTCGCTACTTGCTGTTTTTTTCAGAAAAACAGTATAGCTAATCATTTTAATTCTATACTTGACCTTGTATTTTCTTGTAATAAACTAATATATTTCGAAAAGTTGTATGAACCTTTTGTTCCAGCTGACCTTTATCATCCTGCATTAAATATTTATCTCCCAATAAATCTGTCTTCTCCTCATTGTAATCGCAGTCACTCATTCTACAACTTTCGTAAAGCTAACTTCGAGGATGCACGTTTGTTCTTATCATCTTTTGACTGGTACTCTACTTTCCAATTATACAATGTAGACGCTGCGTTTAATGCTCTTTATGATGCCTTACACAAATCGGTTCTTGAATTTTTTCCTAAGTGTACATTTACTAATTCAAAATTCCCTCCTTAGTTTGATAAGAATCTAAAAAATATCTTGTTTTTAAAGAAAAAGGCACAAATTAAATTCAAGACATCCTCGAATGTTTACGACTATAGGGAATTTTCATTGCTTCGAGCTCGATTTAAATATGAATCTAAAAAATGTTTACATAGATATGTCGAACGTATAGAATCATCCTTAAATAGTAACCCTGCTGAGTACTGGAAGTTTGTTAAAAACAAAAGGTCTTTTAATTCGATTCCTAAGGAGGTTTCCTATAGGAAAACTACCTCTACTAGTAAACAGGAAGTGGCCAATTTGTTTTCTATGTACTTCTCTTCTGTTTTCTCCGATAATCAACTTAATCTTGATACTACCTCGTTAGGTATCAAGTCCTTTAATTTACCTAATAATGTTAACTTTATTGTTGAAAATGTTTATAAACACTTATCTGACTTTCATGGTAACTGGTCCATTGGACCTGATGGTTTATCCGTTGAATACTTATATCAATTAAAAAATATAGCTTTCCCCCTCTGGACTCTTTTTAAGCGTTCACTTGAAGAAGGAATCTTTCCTTCTATATTAAAATTCAGCTCAGTTACCCCTGTACACAAGTCCGGTGAACTGTCCAATGTTTCCAACTATTTCAATTCAATCACACATTTCCAAAATTTTTGAATTGTTGGTCTTGCATTGTATCCAACCTTCGATCAATAAAATTCTTATGGAGGAACAGCATGGCTTTCGCCCTGGTCGTTCCACCATTACCTGTAATTTAGTCTTTAACAACTATTTATACCAATCTTTTAATTTAAAAACACAGGTAGATACTATTTACACGGATTTCAACAAGGCATTTGATTCATTTAATCACAATGCCCTAATCCAGGTTCTTAACTTATCCGTAATCGGTGAACCTCTCCTGTCCTGGTTTTCGTCTTACCTCTCTTGCCATTACCAATGGGTCAAATTGCTTGGAGTAAAATTTAATGTCTATCTTGCTACGTCCGGTGTTCCTCAAGGAGGTCACTTATCTCAGCTCCTGTTCTCTCTATTCATTAACAGTGTATCAAGTGTACTTTCCAATAGCCAGATTTTATGTTTTGCAGATGATATTAAGCTCTACTCTCGTATATCCTCTTTGGATGACTGTATTTTATTATAGAGTGATTTTGATCGTTTTAATTTACTAGGGCTATCCCTTAATGCATCTAAATGTAAGACCATGAATTGCCAGGATTCAGTCACCTGTCAAATATGTCTATCAACTTGGATCTACTGAGATTTTATGTTCTAATGACTTTGTATCTGATCTAGGATTTATTCTTAGTAGTGATCTTGATCCTAGACCCCACATTGAGCATATTTGTTGTAAAACTCTGGGGTTTGTGTTGAGATTATGTAAGGATTTTCGGTTAGGTCTATCATACAAAGTGCTTTATTGTGCACTGGTTCACCCTATTGCTGAGTATGGTGCCGTAATTTGGAATTCGCATGACCTCAATGACTCTCTTAGACTTGAAAGGGTTCAGTGTAAATTTATGAGATATGCTAGTTTTAGATTGAATGTCTCTTGTGAACCCCACAACTATGGACCAGTTGCTTCTCAACTAGGGCTAGTTTCCCTACTGAGTGTAGACGGATCTTGGGTATTAAGTTCCTAAATAGGTTATTACAAGGTAATATTGACTCTCCCTTTTGCTTATATTTGCTTTCCTAAATCTGTTTTAGAGTTTTTAAATTATTAGCATAAAAAAAGTCGATATTGATAATACCATATAAATCCACAGTCTTATACTATGGGTTGGTTTAATTCTCGCCTTGAAAAGATTTTAAGTTTAGAGAGTAATTTTCGACAAGTGATAATAATTAACTTATGATAAAAACTATAAAATATAATGATTATATTGTTTGGAGTTCTATAAAAATATATCTTATTCTTCCTCGCCTTAATCCCGATTACTTGGGATCGGTCACCCTTATCCTAAACTTCCACTTGACACGATCTCCCACATCCAAGATGGGACAATTCGCCTAAGTTTTGTTCAGGACACCTTATACTATTTGACAAAAATTTTACCCCGGCTGTCGACCTGACACAACCTCATTAGTCGCCTCTTACGACTGGCAGAGGGGCCATGGAAGTATTCTTATCCCCTATCCACAGGGAAAAGTTCTATATAAAAATATATATAATAAGAATTGTTCATTTGTGACTAATATTATTTAAAATTAAAAATAATAACTTAAAACTGACTAAATTTAAATTTAACTCAGAAAGCCACAAAAAATACTAAAAAATTGCATACATATATCTCAATACAATGTGTTACCATCAACACTAAACACATACTGACTGACTGAAAAGTATTCCCTAATATACCTAATATCACCTTGTGATAATGTCACTCAGTCTATATAAGGAAGTATTTTAAAGTCTCAGTATTTGTTGATGGTTTTTGTGGCTTTTTCAGTTAAACTTCTTAATATTAATTATATATTATTGATTTTAAATATGAAAATACTTATTACTTTAATACGCTTAATTTTTATTAAAATTATTGACGGAAAACTTCAATTTCACCTGAAATAATTTTTATAAATTTTCTTTTAATCTTCATAATTTTGTCAATCCTTAATAATAACCAAACAAAATTTTTTTTAATTTCTAAAAATGTTCCTGATAAACTCTTAATAAATTAAAAATCTCTTATGTGAATTCAATCCTAAGTTCATAATGATAACTTTCCTTGACTGGGCCCTTTATAAACTAAAAAATGTAGTCAGATTTAACACTTGAAAAATTTAAATCTCATGACTCTTCTGATACTTACACAATTCTAAAATGCCATTGGAGTATTTAAAAAATATTATTATCTTATTTTTATGACTCATAGGTTATTTCATTTTTTTTAGAGTAACTATTTTCATATTAGATAATTTCATAAAATTAGTGTATGGTTAAAAAATAATATAAATTATTAATAACTAAAACTCTTACTAAAAAACCTTAACCTTAATTGAAAAAGAAAATGCATATATTTGTTTAAAATTAAAACATTTTAATGTTTTAGTTATTGTTTAAAAATATTTAAATTTAATTTTAATATTTTTAGATCAATGTTCTTCTCCAATAATGATAAATAATGGTTTTAAAAGTACAGAATCCCAAACAGATTTTTGTGAGTTTACACAACTTGATGTCAATAATAAATCTGCGTTCTCACAAAATTTTTTGTAAAGAATCTATTTATATCTTAATGTTTTTAATTAAATTAATGCAATTTTTGTTTATCTGAATCCAGATTAAGTATTGAAAATGAAATGAATGAATCATTTAAAATACCGGCAAAAATTGATGTTCGAGAAAAACAATTTTTCACAAAAGAAATAATGAGTCAAACAACTATGGAAGAGTATTTTTCAGATATTTCAAATAGTAAATATTTATTCATTAATTATATAATATAATGGTGCATAGTGTGGCGCACTGGATCATTAAGTTGTTGCCTAAGCGCCGATGTTTAGCTGCATCGTTTGCTATTGGTTTCTGGATGATTGACCATACGGAAACTTTAACAGTGATGTAGAACATGCAAATATGTACTTTGCAACCTACAAATGGGTCTTAATAAAAAAATATTTCTAGAATGTTTCATCCCTTTAAAAAAAATCCAATTTGCTAAATCTTTTATTTTCAGAAATACAGAGTACCCTTTATCCGGTTTTGATACTTTACATTTTAACGGTTTTGTATTATGTTAAAAGCAAATTTTATATTATTTGTTGTTAATAAAAATTAAAAAAAATATATATATTTAAATTTTTCCAAATTTAAAAATATTCCATGTTTTAGCTTTTTTCTAAAAATATTGATAGGTTGATAACAATTTTAGGATAAGTATTTATTGAGCTACAAGCATTTTCATACATAGAGTGAGCTTTAGTGCAAGTGAATACATACTAGTATATGTGCTATTTGCTGGCGTTCATACCCATTCTGTAGAAAAATGCTTGTAATTCAATAAACATTTAATGAAGTTATTGACTGATCATAATTTTTGTTAAAAAACAGCTTAAATATAGCCATTTTTAAATTTTGAAAAAATTAAATTTTTTTTTTTAGAAATAAACAATTTAAAAAATATGATTTTTTAAAGTCTTAAACTTCAAAAATTATTTTTTAAAAGAGTAACGCAAAATATTTGAAAGATCAAAAGTTACTAAGGATTTCAGAATCTGGTAACACATTTTGTATTCCAAAAATAAAATTTTATTTTTAAACTAATAATCTCATGGTAGTGCATAGGCATATGTCCACCTCACTAATAACTAAATTCTCATGGTATCTTATATCTTAGAAACTTTACTGTCATGAACTAGAAAGTATTTTTATAAACCTTTTAATAAAATAATCAAAATATTTTTAAGGTTCAGATCAAGATGAATTAACTGTTCGCATCAATTCTTTAGTAAAACAGCTCAATGATAAAATATCTGAATCTAAAATGTTAAAAAAAGAGGGAAAGAAAATAAAGTTGGAAAATTTAAAAGCTAAGGAACAAGAACTATTAAAATATATTGATTTTTATGATAAAAAAATTGAAAAAATAAAAGAAAAATTTGATGTGGAAGCAGAAAAGAAAAACACTAACATTACGGTTTATCCTTCAGACTCTAATACTTCAATTAGTTTAACACAGTTAATAAGTAATTTTAATGCTAGCAATATAACTAATATAATTGTAGGTAAAGATATTGATCCTACACAATTAAAAAATTCTAATCATGTGTCAATGTGTTTAAATCACAAAGAATATAAATTATGTACTAGATTGTCAGGTCAGTCAAAAGAAAATAGTGATACTGATGCTTTAAGTATAAAAAGTGATGGTGAAATTTATAAAAATGATGGAAGTAATAGTAAAGTTGAATCTCAAATTGATAGTAGTCATCAAAAATTATTTATAAAATGTAAAGATTACAACAAATCTGATTGTCATCAAATAATTCAACAGTTCAACAATACAATGAAGAACAATTATACGTCTAATACTGATGAAAACAAAGATAAACAAGCTTGTCAAAAAAAAAAACATTTGTGCACTTATATTAACACTAATGAAAGAAACTATAAATATGAATCTAACCAAGAAAATAATATCTCTGGTACATGTTTGAACATAGATAAAAATATTTGTCCAATAAAAAAATGTTCTTATCCAAGGAAGTGTTCTAAAAGTAAGTGCAAAACTATAGAATATGATAGAAATGATGTACATTTATTACATATCAATAACGATTCTATTGAAAATAAAACTCTAAACTTAGTTGAAAACCATAAATCAAGGTCAAATGAAAATAATAAACTTAATGAATCTATTAATATATTAGAAAATGATTCATGTAATAAAAATTTAAGTTCAAGTTATTCTTTGGAAGATTCTAAATTTATAATTTCAAATAATTTTGAACATATAAATAATGAAGAATTTAATCAAAATGTTAATCAATCATTAGATGAAAAGGATCGTAGTGAAGGTGACATCATTTTTGAGGATAAAACATTTATTGAATTTAACTCTAATGAATATGAGGTATATATTGAAAATTATTTTTAAGAGAAAATTTTATTGTTCATTTATGTGATTAAACATTAAAATTATATTTCAGGCTCATGATGATACTATACATGGAAAGCTACAAAACGTCAAAATATCAATTATTGATAATATAACAAAAAAAATTTTGGAGAAACTTTTACTTGATATTAAAGTAGAACTTGATAAATATAAAAATAAAAATGTTGGGGATTTAGATCAATTAACTGATGAAACACCTTTTTTGCTAACATTAAAACGTGATAAAGAACATCAGAGTTTTTTATCTCTTTCTGAACAAGCTGCAGTTATTTCAGAACATCTTTTTGAACATCATTTTCAGTATTTAATTTCTGAAATGGTTAATAGTTATCTGATAAACTTAAATAATACTCAACTTGAAAGATTGATGTTTTATTTAAAATGGTCTTCAAATATGAGAAAAAGATTGATCCCCCCTGATAATTTTATTATACGTAAGTGAAATTGGTTTTCCCTTACTATAAAGTAAGGGAAAATTAAATATAAATTTAATTAAATCCAAAATGTGTATCATTAATAGTATATTATAATTTTTTTGAAATAAATTAATATTTACTTAATTTTATATTTATGTATGTTTTTTTCATGATTAAAATTTTATTAGTTTAAAAAATAAAGTAAAAATAATTATTTATTCATAGACTGTTGGAATTATTAAAATGCTTTATATTCTTTAGAATTTGAAAATGGTGATGTTGATCATAATGAATTATTCAAAGTTTTCTATCAGAATCACTTAGAGCAACAGGTAGTTTTTTTATATATTTTAAATGTAAATATAAATAAATAAATTTAAAATTATTACATTTTTCTACATTAAACTTTTTTTTTCATGTTACAAATAATTTTAGAAAAATTTTGATAATTATATTAATGCTACACATTGTAATGATACTAATATTATTCTAAATCAAACACATCGAGAAGCTGAAAAATTAAAATTAGAACAGATACGAATTGAAAAAGAAGTATGTTTATATGATAAAATGTTCTAATTTATCTCTTTTTATAAAACTACTAATTTAATAATATTATTTTTCTATTTTAAAGATTGAATATTTATGTTTGGCTGAAAAAACCCAATATTTTATACGACAAATACCAAACAAACCCCCTCCTCCATATAAAAGTCCAAATAACATGATATCTACTGTACTTATTGATAAACAATATTCAACTAAAGAGATTCATAATTTAATAAATATTGTTACAAATCAATTATTCGAAAACAAAGATTGTTCTATTCCTGAAAATTTTATTGATATAAATGATTCAAAGTTGCATGCTGACTATAAATTATTTATTTTTGATTATTGCCAAGAAGTAACACAAAGAATTTTAAATTATAATTGTAAAAAGCTTCCTGTACGGATGACAATTGGAAAACAAATAAATTCGTGTAACTCTATGATATGGAATTCTAAAGATTTGTGTAATATTATAATTAAGTTAATGGGTAAAGTTATAGACATAGATGATGCTGAAGTCAAAGTTAACAAGTTTGTTGCTGAGCAAATGTATGAAGAAAGTAGCAAGTGGACAAATTTTGAATCAGATGAATTAGAATTAAAAAATATAGTCGTTCAAAATTTAATGAAGAAATTAATTTATGATACTGTAAAAAATATGAAGTTTGTTTTTCTTGCTAAGTATCATTAAAAAATTATTAGATTACAAAGTAAAATGATTTAATTTTATAGTTGAAACCTATTATATCAAATTATCATATTAAACTTAATTCGTCAATAAATACTTTAAAAACATTAAAAATGAATGATTTTAATTGTCTGTATGGAGAACATGGGATAACTAACTGTTTAATTGATAAATTAGAATTTTTAAAAAAGCTGAGAAGGTATTTTTTTGTGACTATCATTTATTTTCTCTGCTCTAATTTGACCTACTTTTTTCAACGATACGTCAAATGACTACAATTCGTATCTAATTGAAGATATTACCCTCAAAAATTGAAAAATAATTCTAAATTATCAATTAAACAGTTAGTTATTACATGTTCTCCGTAAAGACAATTAAAATCATTAATTTCTAATGTTTTCAAAATATTTATTAACGAATGAAGTTTGATATGATAGGTTTCAACTACAAAATTAAATCATTTTACTTTGTAATTTAATAATTTTTTTACTCTATTTGTGTGTGCTACTACTAGACTATAATATTTCTAAAAAAAATGAGTGTTAGTTACTCCTGAATTAACAATGGATTTTTACAATTATAATCAAATTTTATTATATGCTTAATTGAGTAAATCTTTTTAACAACTTTGTTTTGATTGGTTCATTTAGTTAAAGTAAATCATTAAAATTAATTAAGTTCTCAATATTTCAATTATAGAATCTTTTCAACAAACAACAAAAGTTCCTAGGAAATTATTACTNCGCAGAATCTTTTTAAACACCAAAAGTTATTTGGAAATTATTACTATTACTTCTATTTAAGTTATATATTACGTTAAAAGTGCAAAAAAATATTGAGCTACTCTGATAAATTTACTATGAATAGTAATTATAAAACTTCCTAACTGCATATTAATCTTAACGATAAAATTTTCTATTTAATGATGTCAATTTCAAACTTGCCAATTGAGCTAAAAGTTATGGTAAATAAAAATATTTTTTTTTATTATAAACATTTACAAAAATCAACTTTAAACGATTAAAAAAATAGAGTAAAAAAATTATTAAATTACTAAGTAAAATGATTTAATTTTATAGTTGAAACCTATCATATCAAACCATACGTCGCTCCCATCAGCTAGAAAAAAATGGCTATTTAAGCTAGTTCAAATTTTGGATTATTTTTCTTGACATAAATAAACAAAGAAATTTAAATTAGTTTAACTTTCTATGCTATATCAATTTTATTTATGTAATATTTATCCAAATCAGTGTACTCCCCTTGTGATGTATTTTAAAATAAAATAAAATACTAAACCCAGAATTTTACATACAAAATAGCATTTTTTTGAATATGGTAGCCATTTTCATCATGAAGACAAGTCCAGAGGTCAAATTATTTTTTTCCATAATAAAGCACATTACATTAGCTTTAATTTATGATATATATAGTGTCAGACCTTCCGGAACACTTTCAAAAGTTAAGTTGAAAAAGTTGTAATTTTAAATCCCCCCTGTGGGCAAGTAAAGGCTTAAATTTATGAAAAAAATATACCAAATGATAGGTAGACTTCAAGCAACTATAAGAAAAAAAATTATATTGATATGTTCATTTTTGAAAAAGTTAAAAAGTTTTTAGTAAAAATTTCGAAAATTAGCGATTTTTAAATTTGTAATTTTTTTAGAGGTTTCTCCCCCTTTACGAGGAACGAGGGAAATTTTTTCAATTTTGAAGTGTAATGTCTTCGACTAGATACGATTTGTGATCTTTTGACGTATCGTTGAAAGAAATCCGTTCGGTGAGAACTGAGAAAAAGTGGTAACAGACACACAAAAAAAAAACACATAGTAAAACATGTATACATATGTTAATCTACATAAAAGTAAAACTAATACCTTCTCAGCTTCGCATCGAAGCTAATAATTAAGGTGTTTATACAAAAAAAAAAATTGTTATAATTTATTCATTTTTGAAAAGTTTAAAAAAAATTTTTTAAACAAAGTACAATAAATGTCTTAACTTTTTAAATATGAAAAAATCATAATTTTTTTATATAAATATCTTATTTTTTCTTTTTACTTGATATAAATTTTAAAAATCTGACCCTTTATCTGCCTACAGGGGGATTAAAAATTAAATAACAGTTATAAACTAATAAATTAGTTGTGGTTAAAATATTGTGTTTTTTATTTTTTTAAATAAAAACAGTTTTTTCAGAATAATTTTTTTTATGCTTCATAATAATTTGAAAAAAAAAAATAGATCAATTTTTATAGATTTTGAAAAAAATGTCTAGATTTAACTTAGAGAAGCCCACAGTGTTTTATTGGGGTGGGCTTTTTTATTTGTTAACTCTTTATAGTTCTCAAATAAGGACTAATCAAATTCATATTTTCTTGTAAAGTTTGGGAAATATTGATTTTAATAAAATGATGATCATTAAAGTAGTCAATATGTGAATTGTATCTTGTACCAATGATGGGCATTAAATAGTTAAAAAGTTAGTTTTTTTTTTAATTTTCAACTTAACTGGTTAATTATTTTTCTAATAAACTTTTTAATTTAACTAATTTAATGTTTCGTTGAAATAACATAGCTTTTTCAGTTAATTAGTTAAAATAATTGGTAAGCTAAATTCAATATTTCATAAAAAAAAATGTATGTGTTTAACCGCTGCATACGTGGTTTAATTTTTTAAAAATTGGAAATTTCCTCCCAAATATGATGCGCTTACGTTGCAATAATGTAGTCGACACTGGTTTTGAGGGTAGAGACCCGTGATCCGTTTATTAATTAGCAACAACAGGTTATTTTTAAAAAACAAACAATCCGAAAAGACCAACACAGTAATAATAATAATATCGCAGCATTTTTGCTGGCGTCGACGACGCGGTGTCCGGCATGATCCTCTGGCGTCAAAAGTTAGCAGCCTTAATTGTGAGGGTGCGATCGGTTCGTTGAGTCCAGTCATATGGCACGTCCGAAGCCGGTAACGTATATCCTAAACGTTGTTACGTTGATGACGAGAAGAAGACTCCCCGTGCGGCATTTGCTGGACTTTTCACCGTGGCGTATGGCACGCGGTGTTGGTCAGTCAAATACTCGTAGTAGGGCGACGGCTGATAGAAAGGTGGCACGAGTCGCAGGGCATCGTGTATAACGAAGCGATGCGAATTATATTTATATAGCAATAAATATAATTTTCTGGATTTTTTTTAAAACTGTGATACCAACACAAAAATGTAAAGACATAATAAATACAAATATTTTGATTTCTAGTTATTACTTGATTAATGTAGTTAGTATATTAAAACTACTCTTACTTGATATCCACTGATTATGATCGATTCTCAACTGTTAACTTGCAGTTGTTAAAAGTGTTTTATGTTAATAAAAATGAATTATATGTTAATTACGAAATCGTATTTATTAATAAGAATAGTGTAAATCATATTAACAATGGTAAGTTTTAAACTATGTGAATGAATTAAGTAAAAGACTACAGAAAACACGTAAAAAATACATTAGAGTATTTTAGGAAATAATCTGAGAAAGTAACGTGAGAAAAAGAGATAAGCGAATGAATGGAAAAACAGGGCCTTCAGCTCTTATATAATGTGCCACGGACAGCATAAATAGGGATAGGGCGTCTTGAAAGTGTCATGTTTTTTTATAGACATATTCAGTCATCAGTCTTTATTCCAAACAACGAATAACAGTTATTATAATTAATTTTCCTTTTTAAATACTTTTGTGGTGCCTCGAAAACGCGTATGATGATAGTGACTCATGGCAATTATATAATTGCAAAAGTCCGAATAAAATGTGTTATTGTTAGTGTATGCTTTGTGGTCCGGAAAGTACAAGAGGTATTGATTTCTACAAATATTCTAGTTGAGAATATTACAGGGAGAAACGGGAGTGTGAAAATTATAGAGACAAAGCGGTTTAAGAATAAGTAGAAGTAAGACGGAGTATATAGAGTACGAGTTTGACAAAGAAGAACATTAGGTAAGTGAAATGAGGAGAGCAATGACAATCAAAGATATGATAGGAGAGGTGGAAAGTTTTAAGTATTAAGGATCAGTTGTGCAAAAGAGCAGTAGTATTGACGGGATGTAAGACACAGGATTAAGTGCGGGTGTTGAAGTGGAGAGAAGCGTCTGGCGTCTTATACGATAAAAGAATTCCAATGAGGTTGAAAGGTATAGATGTAGCATCAAATGTGAATAAGATGAGAGAAAATAGACTTAGATGGTTTGATCGTGTTATGAGGAGAAAACAATCGGAAGCTGTAAGAACAGTTATAGAAATAAATGTTAAAGGAAGAAGAGGTAGAGGAAAACAAAAAAAGTGACGGAGGAATGCTATTGAATGCGATTTGAGGACAGCTGATGTGAGTGTAGATGGTGTGGAGGTCGTATCAAGTGAAAGTTCAGGATAAGGGTGGCCGACCACAAGTAGTTGAGATTAAGGTAAGGAAAAGGAAGAGTTTTCAATTTTAAAATTTGAAAATCGATTCTTAGCTTTCCCTTACATCACCGACTATTAAAAAATTATTTTAAGAGATTTTAAACAAAAAAATAATTTTAAATAAAATAAACTTATTTTAAACTAGTTAAATTAAAAAAAACCTAGCACAGTGGGGTCGAGGTATAGTGGGGACGTTGTATAGTTGGGTCCAGTATAGATTTAATCTGACAGTGATTAAAATCACTATCATAAGAAACGCTTCGATGCAAATCTGAAGATAGTGTTTAATTCTAAGAAATTAATGGATAATTACAAAAGCAACATCAACTTCTATTTCCTTAATTATACCCAGATTAGTAATTCTTTTAATTATATATAATATAATTTTTAAAATTAATTGTTTTCAAATTATTATTAATTTTGATTTTTAATATGTTAAAAGTAATCATTTTAAACCTACTTCTTTTTGTCCTTTAAAGTGAAAGTTTTAATAAAAAAAAAATGAATTTATTACCATAACTTTTAGCTCAACTTACAAGTTTGAAATTGACATTATTAAATAAAAAAAATGAAATTGTTATGATTAATATGCAATCTGGAAATTTTATAATTACTATTTACAGTACAATTATCAGAAAAGTTCAATTTTTTTTGCATTTTTATCGTAATGGATCACTTAAATAATAATCATTTCTAATTAACTTTTGGTGTTTAAAGATTCTACAATTGAAATATGCAGAACTCAATTCATTTTAAAAATTTACTTTAACTAAAAAAACCAATAAAAAAAAAAAAAGTTAAAAAGATTTACTCAATTGTGAGCGTGTTATAAAATTTGATTATAATTGTAAAAATCCATCGTTAAATTCAGATGAAACTAAAAATCATTTTTTTTTAAATTTATGATTTATATAGCAAAATTTTACAAAAAAATTTGGAATATTATAGACTGGTAGTAGCACACACAATTAGAGATAAAAAAATAATAAATTACAAAGTGAAATTATTTACTTTTATAGTTGAATACTTTTATCATATCAAATCTAATTCGACAATAAATACTTTATGAATATTAGAAATTAATGGTTTTAATTGTTTGTATGGAAAAATCTGGTTAAGCTACTTTTTATTTAAATAAAGAATATTTTTTCGATTTTTAAGAGTAATGACTTAAACTAAATACGAATTGTAATCATTTGACGTATCGTTGAAAAAAGTAGGTCTAGTGAGGGTTGGCAAAATAAATCGTAGCCACAAAAAGAACCACATAGTAAAATAATATTAACATAAATAAGAAATTTCTTCTCACGGGGGGAGACTAAAGTGATAGGATTCTTTATATTTATTGAAGTTATTGAATCTAAAAGAGATAAATATCAAATGATTTGAAAATTTTATTCTAACTCAAAAAAAAAAAACCCAGCACAGTGGGGTCGTGGCATAGTGGGGACGTTGCATAGTTGGCTCCAGTATAGATTTAATCTGACAGTGATTAAAATCACTATCATAAGAAACGCTTTGATGCAAATCGGTCCAGTGAGAGCTGAGAAAAAGTGGCAAAAGACATAAAAAAAAAAAAACACATGGTAAAATGAATACCTTCTCAGCTTTGCATCGAAGCTAAAAATTTCAACTTATCTTTTAACTTAGCTAGTTAAATTTATTTAAATGTTAACTTTTAACTATTAATTTATCGACATTGATCATACTTAACTTAACTTTACTTGAGTTAATTATTTTCATTAACTTGCCAATCTTTGTCTTGTACTATAATGTATTTGATATCATTATTGTGGAATTCTATTAAAATCATAATTATAAATTATAATTTTTCAGTAACGATAATAATATCCTGATACTTATGTAAACTATCTATACTATTCACATTAATCATATGCTATAGTTGATAAATTTAAAATGTTTAGTCAACAAATTACTTATTAAAAAACCATATAACATTTAAATTTATTAAAAAGTACCAACAATATTGACGATGAGAATAGAGTATATTCATGGGTAAAAATGCTAATAATTAAAAAAAAATATTTGTACAAGTTTGTTTTATCAGCCACAGTTTATTTAAACGTATTTTAAATGATCATTTAAATAAATAAACTATACTATAATATTGAGGTTTTATACAGAGTGTATCACCAAGTTTGACATGTTTAATAACTTTTAACCTAACGAATATTTTGCGTTACTTTTTAAAAATTAGTTTATAGTTTTGAACTATGTTATAAAAAATATTTTTTATTATTTGTCTCTAATAAGAAAAAAAATATATATTTTTTTAGTTTTCAAAGTTTTAAAATAGATATTTTTTTATAAAAATCGTGTAGGATCCATAACAACTTACAGACAAAAGTGGGTACGTAACGCGGGCGAAGTACACATACACCAGAACAAGCTGTACCCATCCACGCTCAATAAAAACTTATCCTAAACATTTTGTAAGAAATATTTCAGAATTTATAAGAAATAGTCATTTGAAATTTCAAAAATAGAAAAAAAAGATATTTTAATTTATTTGATTATAAACGAATAATAAAAAATATATTTTTAAACTGTAGAAATAATTAAAAAAAATTAACGCAAAATAATATCTGTATCATAAGTTATTAAAGATGTCAGACCTGGTTGTACACTCTGTATAATCTGTTATATTTCTCTATAATGATGGGATATTACCGATTTTTTATGACTCCCTAATGATATATTATTATTATCTAAACAGTTTTGTATGAAACAATCTGCGCACAAAGTTATTTATGCACATTTAAATATTACACAAAATTGAAACCGTCAATCGATATATTAAACTTAGTAAAGTTTTTTATATTTTAAGAAATCTAAGCTAAGTGCACTTAAGAGTACAAGATCATTTAATCTAATTTATTCATACTAATTAATCAAATGTTAAATTTAATAAATTCAGTTTAATTTCATTTATAAATTTTCTCAATTATGTTTTGGTTAACTATAACCACAGTTCTTCTTATAGTGAGTATATGAAATTATATTTGTAATTATTTTATTTATTAATAATAATTAAATAATATAAAACTAAACAAAATCTACAGTATATTATATCTGTAGCGTGCAATTATTTTAATGTTGAGTAGAAGATTACCTACTTACTAATGTGATAAGTTGTTTATATATTTGAAGGAATGGAGAAAAAAGGAGGTATGAGTGAAAATTGATACATCTGTTTAATTAATATAAGTACAATAAAAAATATATTTATGTAACAAGATTTACCTTAAACATTAGAGATATGGGTAGCGTCTTCTTCTTTTTCTTTGCCTTAATCCCAACTAATTGGGGTTGGCCACCCTTATCCTTACATTCCACTTGACACAATCTCCCGCATCATCTACGTTCATATCGTATTCAATTAAATCCCTCAATCTCTTTTTTGATGTTCCTCTACCTCATCTTCCTTTAATATTCATTTTTATAACTAGATAGGGGTAACGTACATATTAAAATTTTAATCCTACAAGTCGATAAAATGAATGATAAAATCAAGAACTTATCTGTTAAAGACTTGATGAGATTGACAGGAATAGCAAAATGGCTAAGAGATTTAATTATGATTTAACCACAGATGGTCGACATAAAACGCAAATATACAACGGATTACACAATGCACAATTGTGTTAATGACACGGCACTACTTAGAAACTAATAAAGACGAGTGGAAGAAAATGTGTGTAAATAATAGTGAAACGATAATTATACGTGACGGAGGCGAACAAGATAATAAAGGTATACATAAATAAAACGAGTGATGATTAATATTTTAGAAAACGATGGTGAATAAATAACTATAAGGGGTTCTATAGGACGATTGGCGGTTATTAGATGTGTGTAGACATAATTGGAGATAAATATCCGTCGTAGGATGGATAATGGTTAACAACAGCGGACACGATCGAATCACCTGCATTCAATAGTATATAATCACCATCTGTCCCAAATCAAAAGATATGGGTGGGGTGGTAAAAAATCTTTTTTGGCGGCTGAATAAATAATTTTTTGTAGCAAACGTATTCATTGAAAAGTTGTCAAATAAAACGATTAAATAGGTAGTAGAACATCATCTGCTCATCGAAATGGACTGACTGAACTGGTTTGTGATAAAAAAATTATATAAATCTTGGACGAACAAATTAACTATTAAAAGAAACGTGTAATTTAAAAAAAAATAAATCACGATCATAGGCGGAAATTTCCTATATTTTAGGGGGCTAAAATTATTCATTGAAGCCGCTCGCAAATACATTTTACTTCCTGGTAGTATTCGATTTAGACATGGTTAAAACGTAGATAGTATTATTCAATTATATAAATGTAATTTAAGAGTATACTTTATTACAAAGTACACAAATAATAATTTTAATTTATAAATAGTTTCTTTTCGAATGTTAATATATTTTAGGCTTTCTTATATAATCTGATACTTTTCTTACTAGTTCACGTGGCGCAGAATCGGTTGGCTAATAATAAGATACTTTTGTGGATGGCTAGTGACCAAAATTAATTATAAACATCAAATAGTATAAATTTTAGGTTGTTTTATTATACAGGGTGTTCAGTAAATCAGGAAACGGGTTTCTATTGTTCTCATTGTTTGTAACAATGAGAACAATAGAAACCCGTTTCCTGACTTACTGAACACTCTGTATATGGGTTATTATAGTATTTGATAAACCTAACATTTTTAAAAGAAATTTTTTAAATAGTACCTAAGTATTATAGTCTATCATACAAATTCTCAGAAAAGCTAAGACTACTTATTTTAGTTTTTAAGTTAAAGTCCCCATAACTCTCCTTCGATTTCCGCTTAAGATCACAATGTAAAATTAGTAATTTTATATCTTGATTAACTTTTACGTTTATGTCGAGTTTTTTTTAGTAAAGGGTTTATTAGTTTGTATGAGTTTTATTAAATTTTTTATCAGTAACCTAATGATGGTGCACCACCGAAGGTAATATGCACGAATTTTCGATACATTTTATTCTAAGTGAAGTTTAGTTTTATATTATTTTATTATTATTAATTAATTAATTATTCATACTCCTTCTACTTGTCTCTGTTCTTTACAATTTTCTTGGTTTCAGTTTGGCATCTATAATAATTTTGTCGATTATTGTTGTTCTAGGACGTTCTTTGTTTCTCCTACCATTTTATTTATCTTTCCAATATTATATAGTATAATTCCTCTTCGTGTCTTAAAGTACGTCCATTTAGTCTCCATTTTCTCTATTTAATTGGTCTCAATAATTCTCCAAATTTACCTATTTGATTAAATACAATGTCATTGTCATACGAAATTCCATTTATCTAACTTAGCAACCTCTTCCAACACCAGATTTCAAACTTTTTAGATATTTTTCTTCTGCTTTGTTTATCACCTATGACTGATCTACATAAAGTGACGCTTTACACAAATACCTTGTCTAAATGGTTTCTCATGTTCATAGTTCTCTTTTTGGCGCATAGTATTTTTTTGCGATTCATAAATAAGATTTTGGTTTGTGCTAACCCAAATTTAATTTTTTTTAGTAATCTTACCATTCTAAATAAAATACCACACAAAACTTATTCATTATGAATAAATATATTTCATATTTAGCATTTGTTATTTTCAAATCTACTATTGTATTAATGCATTAAAAAGTTACAAGTCAAGTTAGATTAACTTCTTAATTTCACTATATTTTTATTATTTTTATTTTTTTTTTTTGAAAAATGATGAGCAAAAAATAATGTCCTTCGCTGAATGAATGATGGCATCTCGCTTATTTTTCTGTTCAATCATTTTTTTTAGTATCCTGTACGTAACATAGATTGTATTTAGAGCTAATAATGGAAAATATCATGCCCTCAAATAGTTGAGGCATTTTTTTTCTTTAAAATTTCTAATAATTTTACACGGAATCACATAAAATTTCGCTCAGATATATAAGCGTATTTCATTTCAATTTGTTTATTTATTTTTAGACACCATTAAAGACCATTGCGCTTAAGTTTCCAAAGGATTTTGCACCCTACATTCAATCCAATAATTACCCTGTAAACTTCCACTTCATTGTGGTGGGCGGAGGAAGTGCTGGTTCCACTATTGCCGCCAGACTCAGTGAAGTGTCTGAATGGAATGTTTTACTTTTAGAAGCTGGTGGGGACCCTCCTCCCCAATCTGAAATACCTCTTCAATGGGGGTCAATGTTAAGAACTGAAAATGATTGGAATTTTATGTCAGAAACAGATGATAAAATGTTTAAAGGTTTAGTAGATGAGCGAGTTTATTTACCTAGAGGTCGTATGCTAGGTGGAAGTTCATCTATGAACGTGATGGTTTATTTGCGAGGAGACAAACAAGATTTTGATAAATGGAATAACGCAGGTTGTACAGACTGGGGTTATGACTCAGTACTACCATATTTTAAAAAATCCGAAAACTTTACAGATGCGTCACGTTTTAATGCAACCATTCACGAAAAGGGAGGTCCATTGACAATTTCGCCATATATGTCGCCCGATCCAGCTATACCGGTTATATCGGAAGCATTGAGGTCTTTGGGTTTATCTCCAGTTTCTGACTTAAATAGGCCCGAGCCTGTTATAGGATTTGGTATGGCTGATAGTACTACAAGAGATGGCTTGCGATGTAGCACTTTAAAGGCATTTTTGTTTCCCGCAAAAGATAGATCTAACTTGTACGTAGCCAAAAATACGAGAGTTACTAAAATCATATTTGATAAAAACCGTCAAGCAACGGGAGTAGAGATTATTACACCAAATGGTATCAAAAAGGAAATCAATTGCTCTTTAGAAGTTATTGTCAGTGCAGGAGTTATCATGAGTCCTCAGCTGTTAATGTTATCTGGTGTAGGACCTGAAAAGCATCTTAAAGAAATGAATATTGACTTAGTAGTTGATTTACCAGTGGGTCAAAACTATCAAGATCATGTTTCATATTTGGGATTAGTTTTTACAGACCGAAAAAACCGTACAAAAGAAGATATAAAAAATCAAAGTGAAAATCTTATAAATGAAACTCTCCAATTTACTAAAGAAGGAAAAAGCACAATGGGATTAACGGGTTTGATTACCTATATTAATACAAACTCAGAACTAATTTATCCTGATGTAGAGCTCATGAAGATTCGATTTTCGTATAATTCACTAAAAAATACCTGGAACGGAAAAAATAAATTAACAAATTTTTATGGAATTTCTGAAGATGTAGCTGAACTGTATAATGAACTAAATATGAAAAGTGATACTATTTTTATAGTACCTATAAGTAACACAGTGAAGAGTACAGGACACATAAAACTCAACAGTACTGATCCATTGATGCAACCAAAAATAGTAAACAATTTTTTAAAAAATGAAGAAGAAGTAGATATGCTTATAAAAGCCATTGAGTTTGTTGTGCAACTTTCAAAAACCGACCCTATGATAAAAGCTGGATTTGTATTAGAAGAATTAAAATTTCCAAATTGCGTTCAATACGAATGGGCCACTAGAGAGTACTGGAAATGTGGTATTAACCAAGTAGCCACATCTTTCTACCACGAAGCTTGTACTAACAAAATGGGACCATTAGATGATCCAACTGCTGTTGTAGATAGTAATTTTAATGTAATAGGCGTAAATAAACTACGAGTCATTGATGGTTCTTCAATGCCTTACCTAGTATCTTGTAATCCGAATGCTGTCACTATAATGATGGCTGAAAGAGGATCTGACTTTATTAAAACTAAATATGGCAAAAAATAATACTTAGTTAATATTCGTAACTTAGAATAAACTTAAATATAAAAATTTACTGTTGATACTTAGTTACTAATGATATCATAATTTTTTAATAGAAAAATAGTACAATTTTAAGTTTTTAATTATAGAATGCATAATGTAGTTTCATTTTTAGTGATCTTGTAATATAAAATGATATTTAAAAAAAACTAGCACATTTGGGACGTGGCATAATGGGGATAAGTATAGATGATATCTAACAGTGATTAAAATCACTGTCATAAAAAACGCTTTGATGCAAATCTTTAGATAGTGTTTAATTTTAAAAAATTAGTGGATTATTCCAAAACCTACATGATCTGCTAATTTGTTATTAATATCCTGATTCAGATAAAGTATGTCGAATGAAAAAAAGATTATTAAAAAATATTATTTCTCATAAAAAAATTATGTTGATCCATACATTTTTCAATAAGTTATAACATAATAAATTTAAAAATTTAAAATACAAAATCGAAAATTTTCACACAAAAATAGCATTCGGTTACCATTTTCACCATGAAGATAAAATAAAGTCCGAAATTTTTGTTTTCCATGATAAAGTATATTACATTAGCTTTAATTTAAGATATATATAAAAGTGTTAGACTTTCCGGAACATTTTCAAAAGTCATGTTGAAAAAATTAATTTTTTAATTTGATTTGTGATCTTTTAACGTATCATTGAAAGAAATCGGTTCGGTGAGAGCTGAGAAAAAGTGGTAACAGACACAAAAAAAAAAAAACAAAAAACACATCTTAGTAAAACCAATATCTTCTCAGCTTCGCATCGAAGCTAAAATTAATAAATTACAAAGTAAAATTATTTACTTTTGTAGTTGAATACTTTTATCATATCAAATCTAATTCGACAATAATAACGTTAAGAATATTAGAAATTAATGATTTTAATTGTTTGTATGGAATAAGCTGGTTAAGCTACTTTTTATTTGAATAAGGAATATTTTTTCGATTTTTAAGAGTAATAACTTAAACTCAATACGATTTGTAATCATTTGACGTAACGTTGAAAAAAGTACGTCTAGTGAGGGTTGGCAAAATAAATCGTAGCCACAAAAAGAACCACATAGTAAAATAATATTAACATAAATAAGAAATTTCTTCTCACGGGGGGAGACTATAGTGATAGGATTCTCTATATTTATTGAAGTTATTGAATCTAAAAGAGATAAATATCAAATGATTTGAAAATTTTACTCTAACTCAAAAAAAATGCAAAATATTAATAGCCACAGACGGATTTGAACCCCGTACTCTAATCGTGATAAACACAAGTGTTACCGATTCGGCAACAATTCGTTGGATTCGTCACATAATAAAATGGGCTATTTAAGCTAATTCAAATTTAAAAATTACTTTTTCAACTTTAAAAAAGTAAAAAAATTTTAATAAGTTTAATTTCTTATGAACTTTATTCTATGTTAATTAAATTATAAAATATTCATGAAAGTCAGTGTATTGCCCTTATAAGATATTTAAAAAAAAAAATAAAATACAAAACCCAGGATTTTAACACAAAAATAGCATATTTTTGAATACGGTAGCCATTTGCGCATAGAAGATAGGTCGTCGGGACAAATTTTTTTTTTTAATTTTATAGTACATGACACAAGCTTTAATTTGACATATGTTTAAAGGACGCAGTATTTCATTTTGAAAGTTAAGCTGAAAAAGTTAGTTTTTGTAAAAAAGTTGCTATTTTAAATCCTCCCTGTGAGCAGAATAAGTGTTAGATTTTCAAAAAAAATGATATCAAATGAAAGGGAAATATCTAAGGTTTCAATATAAAAAAATATTATTTTGATTTGTTAATATTTGAAAAAGTTATGGCAGTTTTAAGTACAAAAAACATCCCGATAATAGGTGATTTTTATCGCAAACATTTTTTTTTTCATTTTATAGTATATAACATAACCATTGATTTGATATATGTTTAAAAAACGCAGTATTTCCGAAACATTTTCAAAAGTTCAGTTGAAAAAGTTCTATATTTTATACAATGTTTCAAGTTTTGAACGCTAAACTAACGAAGCTAAAACGCTTCGATGCAAATCTGTTGATAGTGTTAAGTTTTTAGAATGAAGTAATACATTTTAATATTTGTAATAATTAATACATATATAACATTAAAATAGTGTTCCCCCGTGGATAAGATAAAAAAAAATAATTCCATTTAACCCAAAATTCAACTACTCTCTTACGCATTCCATAAAACTCCCACAAAAAATATCTCATTGACCAATCAAATTTAATAAAAACATATTTTAAGAATATTACCAGAAATGCTAAACTATTGCGTATTTTAAAAAGCCATTTTTTCAATGAAAACTAGTTTGCTTTTATTACAATTTTATAAAAATTTATGCCGTTGTAAATTACATTTTTAGTCGCTGGGACTTAGAATTAGGGGTGCTTAGTAAATTATTATAATCATTATTTATTATAAGTTTTTGTAATTTTAATGTAGATTTAATTGTCTTCAATTTTATTTAAATTAATTTTTTCATTAATTATTTCTCTCATTAATTATTAATGGTTTATCACGCAATAGATTGTTGGAAGTTCGAAAGCATAGGTTAAATTGTACTTACCTTACGTCCTATGTATTACAATAATATTTCAAGTAATCCTGTGTTGATTTCCGCATTAAACGCACTACATATACGATTTACACTACACGTCATATAGTCTATGTAATTAATTATAAAAACGATTCAAGACTTTAAATAATATAATTTAATTACACAAAATCTACAACTGGTCTTACTTGTGATTGATTTTAAACACTCTGTATTTTATTATAAATACAATTTTAATTTTTTTACTTATTGATTTTTTTTTACGTCTGTTGAATAAGTATTTTTTTTTTAGATCGATACCAATATTTCTTAAATTTTCCTCTGGCCTGGCCAAAACAAGATTCAGAAATATCTATATCTATGTAAAAAATTTATCAAGGCAGAATTGTGGTGGCCCAATGTGTCCCGGTGCTAAAATAAAGCACCTTGAAAGGATGCGGTACAATAATTACCAAGACAAAAATTATTAATTTCCATGAACATATACGACGATTGACGATAAATCAATATACCTGTATATAAAAATTCATGGGGGGGTACGTTCCCATCACTTGTACCCCTCGAAATAATGTTTTTCTTATAGCAAATTTTATGGGCTTTTGAAAGGTGTAAGATTTATTGGGAAACAATGTGGTCAAGTGAACCGAAATGTTAATTGAAAGTATAATTAAATATGAATTTTTGCAATTCTTATATTATGTATACTCATTGTTACAATGTTATTGTTTATTGATAAGACAGCATAAAATATAAAATTATTACAGAGGATAAATATAAAAATAATTTTGACATTTTATATAACGTTAATATTGTTGATTATACTTAACATTAAGATTGACACTTTGTATTTAATAATAACACCAGAGTAAAAAATAATGATAATAGATAATAATAATAGATAAATAATAATAGATTTTTTCATGGTGAAGAGTGATTTTTAAATGACAAATTATTTATTTATCTCTGAAACGTGTGTAATATAATATAATTAAACAGTATGCGTGTGTTAAATATTTCTCTAAGTTATTTATTTAAATTTTTTTGTTAAAAAGAATAGTGTTATTTTAACCAAATAAATATGATAATATAATTAATAGCTGACCCGACAGACTTCGTCCTGTCAAAAAGATTTGTAATGTGGCAGTTTTTTTGCCTACGTATTTAAAAAAATTCTCCTGAACAGAACCGTCACCCTGGTGATAGGGCGTTGTGAATAAAAAATAATTAAATAAAACATATATAAGGATTTAAAAGTAAGTAATCGCTTTATTGTTAATCATGTGAATCATAATTATTATTATTATCATTGTAGTGCTTTGTGGTATACGATGTTTTTTGTTTGATTACCTGGCGCATAGATAAACAAATCTGATGGTTTTCCAACACGGGAACAGGCAACATACAATTGACCATGTGAGAAACATGGGTTTTCTAGATTAATACCACAAACACTTAATGATTGCCCCTGGGACTTGTTTATAGTCATAGCAAAAGCAAGCCGCACTGGAAACTGTAGTCGTTTAAACTCAAATGGCACATCAGTCGGAATCATTGGGATGCGCGGTATGAGAACATCTTCTCCTTTATACTTTCCTTTGAGTATAGTTGCTTCTATCACATTGTTTAGTAATTTTTTTATCGCTAACCGTGTACCGTTGCAAAGACGCGGTTGGTTGATATTTCGCAACATTATAACCACCGATCCAACCTTTAATTGAAGATTGTGAGGTGGCAATCCTGGCAAATCCAGCGAGTTTAAAAATTCCGGTGGATAGTTGACTACATCATCTTGATTAGTAGCCGAATCAACTGATTTATATATCCTCAATTCGCCTGTAATTTGTTCTTGAATTTTGAAATTTAATTCATTTACATCTATGTTTTTTGCAGCCAGTATAGCTCGTTCGCTCAACCAATCATGGTTTCTGTAATTTTGAGAAACATCTGGAAACACCTTCTGAATAAGTTCATCTTTTGATCGAGTTAACTGACAAAAACTTTGAGGAAAGTTAATGCAGCCAGTCAACATGTCTATAGGAAATTTGCCATTACCAATGTCAATGAGTTGTTTAGAGAATATGTTTCCAGATGGGTCATTTTGCAACTCGACACGCATATTCTTGCTTAAATGAAGTACTTTGACATGTTTCCACAAATTGGAGGACTTTAGACATGCATTGAGTTCATCAGCTGGCGTTGATCGTGGAATCACTGGCAATGTTTGACGAAAATCTCCTGCTAATAAAATCATTGCACCACCAAATCGGTTATTATTGCTCCGTAGATCTTTTAAGGTTCTGTCTAAAGCCTCCAAAGATTTTTTATGTGCCATCGTGCATTCATCCCAAACAATCAATTTACATTGCTGCAAAACCTTTGCCATTGCAGAGTTCTTCGAAACGTTGCAGGTTGGAGTTTCATTGCTTTGCATATTTAATGGCAATTTTAGTGCTGAATGGGCTGTTCGACCACCTTCAAGCAAAGTTGCTGCGATTCCCGACGAAGCGAGTGCAAGTGCAATTTTATTTTGTGAGCGAATTGTTGCTAATATTAATGAAATCAAAAAAGTTTTTCCTGTACCACCAGGTGCATCTAAGAAGTAAATCCCTCCAGTTTCATCATTTGTTACTTTCATAAGAGTTTCAAATACATACTTNGACCAGGTGCATCTAAGAAGTAAATCCCTCCAGTTTCATCATTTGTTACTTTCATAAGAGTTTCAAATACATACTTCTGTGGTTCATTTAACAGTGGAAGATTTGTTTGAATTAATTCTTTCAAAGCGTTGAGATCATACAGTTTTTCTCGATGCAACTCTT